TTCATCTTTTTCCAAACCTTCTCATCAATGTTGTCCGGTTTCCCGTCCAACTCCAACGTATCTTCCAAATTTTGCGCGTTGAGCGCATCCATGACTTCGCATCGCCAAAGTCCAAAATTGTTTGTGCCATTGAACTTTTCCACATCAATCTTCATTGAGTGGATATTCAAGCTTTGGACGGTCTTCACGCCGGAAGTACTGCCCACAACTCCTTCTTTCTCGGCCATAATCCTCAAGGCACCACCAAACCAATGCGGAAACAAACGAGAAATAGATCCAAACTGAAAAAGACGAGATTTTTACAAAAAAAGATCCCACCTTTATCACCAAACGAAGCCCTAGATGAACTTCCAAAGCGATCTACTCCTCCAAATAGCCCAAGCGTTGCCCGTGCTCTGATACCACTTGTTGTGACTGATGCTTTGAGAAACCAAACCAACGAACGCCGAGAGAAAGACCAAACAAAACACAAACACCAAGGTTTTACGTGGTTCGGCAAATTGCCTACGTCCACGGGGCAAGAAGGGGGTGGGTTTTCACTAATAGAGAAGGAGAGTACAAATTGAGATTACAAATCGCTCAAACGAACCAACTAATCTCACCAACAAATCTCTCAATCTCTCAACCAATAACCCTAACAAATAGCTCAGAAAGATCTCTCTTTTTCTGTGCTCCAAAACCCCAAAACTCTCCTCACAAAACCCTCAAATCGTATTGGTATTTATACCAAAACAGAAACCCAAACAGACTGCAAATAGGAACCTGAACTTTCCAAAAAACCCGTCATAAGTCGACTTATCAGTCTGCATAAGTCGACTTGGCAGAGCGAAAAACAGCAACTGGAGAAGAGATCATAAGTCGACTTATCAGACCTGATAAGTCGACTTGGCAGAGCAAAAAACCAACAATCCAGAGCAGAACGTAAGTCGACTCATGCACCAACATAAGTCGACTTACCATAAGTCGACTTATGCCTGTGCATGAGTCGACTTATGACCAAAAATCTGCTTTTTCCAATTCTTCTCCACAATTCTCCACCTCGGCGAAGTTTTCCCAAAACTGAGCCGACACCAACCAAACAAATGCCTCACATGCTGAGACCCAAATGAGAGTGTGAACACTCACCCCAAATGTCGATGTCGCTCACCAAATCGGCTGCATCAAAATGACTGCCTACGTATCCTTTGCCCAAGGAATCAAGCCTTCACGTAGTTCACCCAAACGGCCTCCAAAGGCCCTCAATCAAATAGAAAAGTCTGCAACTCTTCTCCAATATCACCAAACGATCTGCAACTGATAGTATTCCCAATGACCCCAAATTGAGACAAATCAAACACCTCCACCTGAGGTAAACCAATGGCCATATCCAAACTATATCTACCAGCTGCAACTGAATCCAAAACCAATCCATCATCTGCATCCAAAACCAAATGATCTCCAACCTGTGTCACCTTAGCTGGAATCCCAAATGACGCAGTATGATCTGGAGTATGTGGAGTAATCTCCACCCAACGTGGAGTAGCATCACTCTCCACCTGCTGCGATATCCAAATGACCTGATCAACACTCTCCACCTGCCGAGAGTCAAAAGTGACATACCTGCTCAGAACAAAATCAGAAGCTCCCAAACGATAATCAACTGAGCCTCCGAACCCCAAACGCGCAATCGGATCCAATCTCACATCCACGATGTGACCAAATGCTGGGTATCCAAATATCCGACGCGACCCAAAATCTGAAGCAGCTCCACCAGATCTAATAACTCCTAAAGCAGCAGTCGGCGACCTATGCATAAGATGACCCAAATATGTCGAAGCCCGCACACCAATGCCAATGCTCGACATCAAACGCCGATCCTCCTCCAGAAAGGAACGACCCATCGAAACTGTCATCTCATCTCGTCGCCCCAAAGTCTCCACACCAATGAAGTGTCTCCTATTGCCGTGAGCTCGGCACCAACGCAAGAAAGGACCCCTACCAAAGCTGAAACAATGAGTTACCTTTCTGCCAATACACTTCTTCCAATTGTTGTTGACTTCTAGGACTTTACACCAACGGGAACTGGTCGCGACCCAATAATGCCTAGAACAATCACCAACTGTGGAAACCAAGATACGATTACCTCCCAATGATGCCTCCTTGGAAGGCCCCCAAATGCCTGACTGAACACCTCCAAAAAGACCCCTCGCTCGATGGATAGAAGTGCCAAACTCCACCACGGTCTCGCTCATCCTAATGTGCTCACAGGACTTCAATCTGCAGGTCATAGCACTCCTCAACAACCAATGCACGGTATTACCAATCATATACCCCAGCACCAAACAATGCCACAGTCTAGCCGAATCTGATGAAGTCGTCATTTCCCTATCAATCACCGTGCTTCCGTGCAAATAATACAAATTTCTTCTTCTGACGCCCTTCATCACAATCATGGACCCAAATGTAACCTTCAAGCGTGCATCCGCCAAGGTCACCCTATAGCCAGCTGCCTCCAAAGCTCCAAGTGAAATGATGTTCTTCTTCAACTGAGGAACGAACCTCACTCCAACCAACTCCCGAATCACCCCGTCACTCATCCTGATCCGAACAGTACCAATACCACCAATAGAGCATTTGTGATCATTCCCCATGAGCACGAAATCCCCTCTTTCCAACTCCTGAAAGCTGGAGAACCAATCCCTCCTAGGGCAAATGTGGTATGTAGCACCCGAATCCAATATCCACTCTGTAGAGTAGGCAACACAAACTGACGGCAGTGCAGATAACGAGTAGCCCGAAGAATCCGAATCTGAATCGTTGCCACTAGCCTTGACAACATTCGCCTCTGAAGCTGTTGTGCCTGGTGCTGTGTCGAGGAACCAAACCAAACGCCAATCCAAGAGAGCCAAACGAACCAAATATCAATGCACAAACAAAACACCAATTTTAACGTGGTTCGGCAAGTTGCCCACGTCCACGGGGCAAGGGGGGATGGGGTTTTCACTAATAGAGAAAGAGTACAAACTGAGATTACAAATCACTCGAAGGAACAAACTAATCTCACCAACAAAACTCTTAATCTCTCCAAATAAAACCCTAAACAAATAGCTCAGAAAATACCTCTTTTCTGTGCTCCAAATAGCCCCCAATCAATGCTTAATCAAAGCCTAAACCAAGCCTAGGAAACCCTAAAAAACGTGTCTCTATTTATAGCAAAACACAATCCCAGACTAATTGGGATTCTAACAAAATCCCAAACAAAGGAGGATTCTTAAATAAATGAGGATTCTAAAAACGAGTCTGCCACACCCTGCACCATGGGTGTGGCAGAGGGTGTGGTGCAGGACAGATTCTGCCACACCCTGCACCGTGGGTGTGGCAGAGGGTGTGGTGCAGGACAAATTCTACCACACCCATGGCAGACACCACACCAGGGTGTGGTGGAGTCTGTTTTGGGTTATTCTTCACGTTTTTCACAATTCCTTCGCCGTTTTCACAGGCATACCCGGGGTACATCTCCGGCCAAATCCTTCCTCTATCTACAGTGCAGGGGCCTCATTTGAGATTTAAAAAAAAATCTTAAGTGGGGCTCTGCACTATAGATAGAGGGGACTATGACTGGAGGTATGCCCAAAAGTGTGCCTGTAGCGCCTGCCATATTTATGTGGATATGATAGCGGTGTATCCTTCGTCAACTGTTCTAGTACATCATGACAAGATGAACATTTCTTACTTATAAGTAAGGGTTTATTTTAGAGAGAGCAAATTTAAGGGTTAATTTTATAAAGAGCAAATTACACTAAAAGCCCATGAGCTTTCCGTATTTTGCACTAAATCCCTATGAACTTTCAAAATCACATTATACCCTATTAACTTTTATGTTTTGCAAAAAAGCCACAATAAGTTTCTGGATTTTGCAGCTAGCCACCATAAATTAGAACAAGGGAACAACATAAAAAGACATTTTGAAAGTTATTGGAGTTTAAGGGTAATTCTTCCAAAAGGTATTGGGGTTTTGTGCAAAAGTTATTTGGGTGTTTAGTGTCATTTTGAAAGTTCATATGGGTTTACTGCAAAACACTAGAAGGTCATGGTTTTTTTTTGTGTGTGTGTGGGTGTGGGTGTGGGGGTGTGGGTGTGGGTGTGGGTGGGTGTGGGTGGGGGGGGTTGTTTGCAATTTACCCCTTTCCAAACAAACCCCACAGGAACTTTGAGGGTTTCTTTCACATAACCCCGGAACTTTTTTTTACTAATCTCCTTGAAAAGTTTTCACTTGTACCATCAAAAGTAATATCGTTTAGTCAAACATGTCACAGCTAAGCATATGTAAGTGAAAAGTACCACTCAGTTGATTTTTTTTAAAGGTAATATTAAAATATTTGAACGTGATTTTTTTAACATTAATATGTGCCCCCCCCTCCCCCCCAACCAACCAAGCTCTCTTCAGACTCATGACATAGTAGATTTAACGATGTTATTTTGAAGGTTAAAATGAAAGCAAAAACTTCAAGGAGTTTAGTGGAGTGAAAAAAAAAACTCATGGGAGTTCTCTGCAAAATCCCCGAAAATTCATGGAAATATCTGAAAAAAGAACTTCATGAGGAGTGGGATCTGTTGTCTGTGAAAAATGCGTCATTTAGAAAATTTTCTCTCAAGAACATTTTTATTTTTACTAATTCCATATAGGGAGGTTGATTAGCACAAGTTTAAACTTTAGGGTTGTGACTTGTGAGACACCCCAGAGTTGAAACAAGTGTTGCGGCATAAATTTTTTTATGTGAAGTTTTGTGAAATTAACCCTTAGAAAACATGAGCGCTGTCGATGTTCAATTGTATTATTGGAGTATTGTCGTAATTTCCATCCTTAAAACTTTATTTTGTTCATATACATTTCCCAAAAACTTACAGCATTCTATATTTTTAATTTCTTTGCATTCACGTATGTCTAAAAATCTAATAACTATTTTTGCTCTAAAGACATTTGCAATTTCTCTAACCTAATTAATAATCGTTGATTTCAGACTTTAAGACAAGTATTAGACGGCGGCTCGCCGCTCCCTGCTCCTGACGCCGTCCTCATCAACGGTCGCGGCCCCAGCGGCGCATCATTCACCGTTGATCAAGGTTACTTTATTCACTAATCAAATCATTAACCAAGCTTTAATCACATTATAATCCAATCCTAATCATCTATTACTATCCCGGCCCAAAAGGCAAAACTTACAGGCTCCGAATCTCGAACGTGGGCCTCCAAAGCACCCTCAACTTCAGGATCCAAGACCACAAAATGATACTGGTCGAGGTCGAAGGGACCCACACGATGCAGACTGAGTTCTCCTCCGTCGACGTCCACGTCGGCCAAGGATTACTACATCGTCTCCTCGACACGCTTCACCTCCGTCGTCACCACCGCCACCGCGGTCCTCCATTATTCAAACTCACAAAGCGCGGTATCGGGCCCAATACCCGGCGGGCCCACTATCCAGATCGATTGGTCGTTAAATCAAGCCCGGTCCATTCGGACTAATTTAACCGCTAGTGGGCCCAGGCCCAATCCACAAGGCTCGTACCATTACGGGCTCATTAACACTACTAGGACCATTAGGCTCGCTAATTCTGCCGGTTTGGTTAACGGGAAGCAACGTTATGCGGTCAACAGCGTGTCGTTTGTAGCACCCGATACTCCGATGAAACTGGCCGATTTTTATAAGATTCCGGGGGTTTATAAGCTGGGGAGCATCGCGGATCGCCCGACGGGCGGCGGTATTTATCTCGATACGTCGGTGATGGCGGCGGATTACAGGGTGTTCGTGGAGATCGTGTTTGAGAACGACGAGGACACGGTTCAGTCCTGGCATATAGATGGATACTCGTTTTGGGTCGTGGGGTAAGGTCGTCTTGCAAATGGTCGAGGTTACGAGGGGTTCATTGTAATTTTTCGCTGACGGGTCGCGTTTGATTTGATTTTGTAGGATGGATGGCGGGAAATGGAGCCCCGCTAGCCGAGGCAATTATAATTTGAGGGATGCGGTGAGCCGGTGCACAACGCAAGTAAGAGCTGATAGGATTATTTTCGATTTTTCTTATTTTTTTCCCCGATTATAATTTATACTGGTACATTCCCTGCTAAAAAAAAATTCTTATAAAAACTTTCCATCCACAATGCATCAACAATGTAAGTCTCTATAAAACGCATAGTTTTAATCAAAATAGCGTAGATCGAACTCTGTACTATCTTATGCAACAAATATATAATTATTAAAATTCACTTTAATAAAGCGTCTTGACAGAATTCCAACCCTCTCACAATTCTGAGTTATAATTTTATATTCTAACAGGTGTATCCACAATCTTGGACTGCGATCTACATGTCACTCGATAACGTGGGTATGTGGAACATAAGGTCCGAGATATGGGCTCGCCAATACCTCGGACAACAGTTCTACTTGCGGGTGTACACGCCGGTGGAGTCTCTAAGAGACGAGTATCCGATCCCGATCAACGCTCTCCGCTGCGGCCGAGCCTCCGGTCGCCGGACTCGGCCTTTCTGAGGAGGAGGAGGAGGGCGGTGATGGTCCGGCTGTAATTTGTTTGAAGATGAAGGGTTAAGTATTTACCAACTTGGTAAAGAGTTTAGTTCTTGGGGTTAGATTGATTGGTTGACCTAACTCGGGTCACATTCTTTTATGGAGGAAGTTATCAAGTGTATTTTATTTTTAGACGTATGGCTCTGTGTCAATCGAATTGGACGGTATTATATCTTTTGATTTGAAATCATTTTAGCTGAATAACGTTTTCTTTAATTAGTTTCGATTCATGTTGTCTTGGATGGTAAAGTTTTTAATGCACTGATCGGATAACAAACCAGTTAACTAAATATATAAATGTATCAACTATCATTTTGAATTTACATTCAAGTTAATAGAAAACGTATACATCGTTTCAAAATTTGAAAAAAAAAGAAGAAGGCATAAATCACAATATAAATATGAATAAAGCCATATTTTCTTTCTATTAGATAATATAACACGGTATGTCTCTATAGCGCTAAGTATAAAAAAATTCATGTGGAGTATGTGATCCTTGTGGACCACGTACAGCATCAAATTTATCATTAGCAATAAATAAATAATAATAATAATAATAGTGTAAACTTTGGCCAGATCAATCTTCAATAAAGTAAATATATGTTGTCGATCATCTCAACACTTTGAAAATGCATCTTAATTAGCTCCTTAACTTATCCCCCAAAGAATCATTTTGAAACTAAGCTCTTGTCATTTTGGTAGTTTCTCTCCAAAATGAACTCACAAAATGCAGGAGAGCCGGCGATCAACCGGCGCAAACAAAACCAAACACCTATCCAAGTCTATAAATACTTTTAACTTGAGTCTCAAAACTTCATAATTAAACCAAATTAAATAAGCTTTTTAATATGGCAATTACTAAAATTTTATTTGCTTTTCTCTCTTTATTCGGATTGATTATTGGAAGATCGTGGGCAACGCAAAAATCGGTTGTTCCTGCAATTTTCATTTTTGGTGATTCGACTGCTGATGTTGGTAATAACAACTTCTTGTCAAGCTCAGCAAGGGCGAATTTTCCGCATAATGGTATAGATTTTGTGCATCAAAGAGCCACGGGAAGATTTAGCAATGGACTCATCACTGCTGATTTCTTAGGTTTGTGATGAATCATGTATCTCATGCATATATAAATTTACAAATATAACCTTTTTATTTTGCATATAGTACGAAATTTGTTTCAAAACTCAGTTATCCGGCTAGAAGAATATTACATTGCCCTTGTTTAAGGTTACTTTGCACATATTTCCCTGTAGTATGGTGTTTTTGAACTTAGTATTGAAATAAATATACCAATATTCGATAACTATTCACGAATATTTAAAAAATATCGATGTTCGAATTCGATTTCAAAGAAATTCAAAAAAACAACACTCGAATTTAGATTTTAAACAAATATAAATATGATCGCTTTAGTTATCAATTCGGTTCGTTTCCAGATCTAATTATACCAATATTCGGTTCGCTTTATTATTTTTATATTATATGTTATCATTATTATTATTTTTGGAAGTAAGTTGTTACAATTTCAATTTGCTCAGCCAAGATGTACGGATTCAATGGAAGTCCACCACCATTGTATTCCATCACTCGAGGTCAACAAGCCCACAAAGGAGTCAACTTCGCTTCCGCTGCTTCAGGAATCCTCCAACCTACTGGAAACAAATTCGTAAGCAATACATTTTTTAAACTTAATTCAATTCCCTCCTTTTTCTTGTGTTAATTGCATCTAGACCCCTTGTACTTTGATTTTGATATCTTGATAGATATTTAATATTTTCCCCGGGTGAAATTAGTGAGTCTGTCTAAGACTTAAAAAAATAAAAAAATGTTTCATCCGGGGGGTCAATTCTATCAAAATCAAACTATATGGGTAGGGTTTATGTGCAATTAAGTAATCCTAACATTTTTATGACACAAGCACATAACTCCTGGACGCAAATTCTCTAGGGAGATCGCATCTCAATGCCGCGACAGCTTCGCTATTTTGGACTAGTGCGTGATTATTTTGTGAAGCATTTTGGTGCAACGGAGACAGAGGACCTTTTTGCAAATTCCATATTTTTCATTAGCACAGGGAGCAATGACTTGATAGAATTTTTCGCGGCTCATGGATCTCTCAGTTATGCTCAGAAGAGTGAATTCATTAAATTGCTCGTGTCCACATACAAATTACAATTGCTGGTATAGTATTTTTTTTCTAGTCTTTTTTTTTTCTCAGTTAAGAACTTTATCAGCCAGGATCCTATCAGAATCATCTCTACATAGGGATAGAGTGGTTTATACCATTAATAGAATAGTCATAATTCTCAATTTAACCCGCCCACTTATGGTATAGGTCACCTCGTTAATTATATGGGGTGTTCTGAATAGGGCTGAGCATGGTTCGGTCCAAACCGAAAAAACCGACCCGAACTGACCCGAAAAAATCGGTTTTATGAGTGGGGTGGTTCGGGTCGGTTTGAAAACTTTTCAACCCGAACCGATCCGAACCGACCGAATATAGTGCAATACTACCCATTCTGATCTCAAACCCTACCCGACCCGTCCCAAAAGAGTCAAAGACTCAAACCCTAAACTCATTTTCTGAATCATTATGGGTTAAAAACAATATCATTATATCAGTGTTTAATGCTTCATAATCTCCTACTTGCAAACCGAACAAACCGAACCACTTATGGTATAGGTTTGATATCATTATATCAGTGAATCCTGATAGTCTCCTATTTTAATCGATAGTCTCCTATTTTAATCGATATCATTATATCAGTCGGTTTGATATCTTTTTTTCTTTAACACAGTTTGTTGTTTGATAAGAAGTTTGATGAAGTTAAAACCGAACAAACCGAACCGAACCGCACCGAACCGACTTGCAATAGTTCGCTTCGGTTTTGATTTATAAGCGGTTCGGTTCGGTTGTTCAAAATTTGGTAAAAACCGAACCGAACCGACCGCTGCACACCCCTAGTTGTGAAAGAATCTTTACTCAAGCTTTATTTACTTATGCATCATGATAGGAAGTAAAGTAAATGATTATAGTAAAGATAACGGGTATTATGAATCCAAAATTAAGTCCTGTAAATTGAAAACTTGTAACCTAGACGTGATGATGCAAAAAATTTAATATTTAGAAAAAAGAAATTTCAGATGATTTCAATGTGCTTTTAATCATGCATGAGCATGTATTTAAAATTTTCTTTTATATAATCAGCTAATTGTTTAAACCCAGATACATAACCTTAAAACACGATAAAGTATTAGAAATTTTCTTTCCATCTTGTCATGTGCATTGACATCTAAAATGTATGAATTTCCAATTAGAAAATCAAAATTTAAATTTAGACCTGTTGATGAGTATCGGCTTCTTGGATACCAGTAGCATATAGTAGCCTGCTTGGACTCAATTTCTGTCACACTCAAAAGCAAAAGTCTCAAATTCATTGCTAGCCTTTAACTTAAGTTAATTGTTATATCTTATTTTGACTTTCTATTTTCAATTTCTAAGTCGCAGAGAGCGTTCAACGCCACCGGCGGCTGTCTTGAAGGGCTGAATGAATTATCTTACATGTTCTATGAGGCCACAAGCAACATGCTTAATGATTTGAGTTGTGAAGTTAAAGGACTCAAGTATTCACTTGGGAATTTGTTTGAGATGGTCATTGATTTCTTTCAAAAAGCACCCCTCTTAGGTAAGTTATCACCATATTTACGTATAAATTTTGTTATTAATAATAATAAAAACGACCAGTTAATTGAAACATTACCTTTGTCACCGAATTAATTTTGACCAGGATTCACTGAGCTCGAGAACGCGTGCTGCGGAGCTGGCAAGTTCAACGGCGAGGCGGCCTGCACTCCGAACGCGACGGTTTGTTCAAACCGTAGCCAGTACTTATTTTGGGACTCGGCTTGTAAAATTGCAGCTGGGACCCTCTTCGGTGGGCCCAAGCAGTTCGTTGGCCCCATCAATTTTGCGCAATTAGCTGCCGAGGATTACTAGGGAGAGAACAAATTATGCTTTACTTTAGCTAAGGAATAATGGTTTTATGGTTAATAAGGTGTTGAGTTTTGGAAAACTTTGGCTTCTAAGTGTTTCTCTGGTTGAAATAAAGTTGTACGTTGTTTTTCCCCCCCTCTTATTAAGCGTGTAATTTGTTTGGATATTAGTTCATGTTTTTTTTCTCATCCAAGTGTTTGAATGTTTCTCGTAGTTTATTCCTGTAGTTTTAATTTTGTTCTTGAAGATCCATTTATTTTCTGTTCGATCTATTGTCTTTCTAGTTTCGTCAGTAAGCTCTCCGTTTATCTTTGATTTTCTTTTTGCCAATATTGAAGTGTACCATACCAATTAGCATATGGGTCAATGGATGATTATTATTTATTTTAAATTTAACGTTTATCATATCCTATGAATTGCACTCATTCCTATTTTGCACTCAAGGAAAAAAAATCACAGTCATCCCCTAAATAATTGATGATTGAGACCAATATAGCGGCCTCTCCACTATTTTTTTTATAACAAAGCGAATTCGAATCATGTACAAATTATTAATGAAATTATTCTTATTAATATAAACTAAATTTATGATCAGAACATATACTAGTGACTTCAGACGGACTGATAGGTCATGCGCGGACAACAATTCTAGTGTAATTTATAACGGAGAGGTCACAATCTCATAATTCACAAGAATATTGTACAAATCAAAGTGACATTATTCTAAGTTGTTGGGTTAAGATAATTAAGATATTTAAGTATTCATGACCACAGGGCATGATGATGGAACAAACAAGAAGTAAACCAAAAGACAAGACTTTCTAAAGCCGAGACGTTTGTTCTCCATCTTAGTTGGAACAGCTAAGTTTTGAGCATCAAATAGTTGACTATTGACTTTTTATTTTACAATTGTTAGGGAATCCTTAGTTTATGCTTAAGATAATTCCATCTTACTAAATGAAGTACTATTGCTAGCTATAACTAGTTGTCATGTGATTATTGAAGATTACGGTGATTATATATTTAGAGGAAGGAGGATGAAATCCATGTGCATTTAGACTAAAAAGGGGAAGTGCTTGGTACGCAATATCGTCTACAATTGATTCTGTGAGATCGGATCTAAGAAATAATAATAATAATAAATGATTAAAATAACTAGTAATTAGTGAAATATATAATCTTATTCAAATCATCATAATTATTAATTCTTACCCTCTAATTATAGTCAACGTCAATTATATCATCATCCTAGCTTTTAGGAATAAAATTGAATACTTGTACAATAGATTAATGCTTAGGAAACAATTGTTATAAAAATAAAAATAAAAATAAAAATAGCTAAACTATTCTTAGTTTTCTTTATTATAACCCAGCCATGAGCCTAACCCACGATAGTGGGAGCCATATTGAAACCTACCAACTGTCCAAATCATCCTTAGTGGGTAGTTAAACTATCCTTAGTTAAGTTAATTAAAGTTAATAATTGATATTGTTGAAAGAATTATTAATCTTTCATCTTTTACCCTCACATAGTATACTAAACATGTTTGTTATGGTGTTTTCAGTCGTCAAAGTACGGCCCTTTGCCAGCAACGGACAGATGCCCCCTACATGCACCACTCAAACCAAATTGACGGTCAGGGCAACCAAGAATCCCAACTTAGCCGACCCGCCGAGTCGACATCTCCTTAGATCAACTCAAATGACGGAACTTGTCGACCCTCTTGTCAAAGACGACTCGCCACGAGCCCACTCGACCAGTTATTTGACGCATCGCGGGGTCGACTCGAAAGACATTACTTCTTGGCCAAGCCAAAGGACGACTTTAACTTCAAGCCTCTCCTGCTGACAGCACGTCGGCGTAACATATAATTCTTGGCAAGTACCATCATACCTCTAGCCCCGAAAGTCTTCATGACACATCGGACCACGTCGGTACCACCATGTCCCCAATCACTTCACATTAAATACTGAGGTGATCTCTCCTCCACTCGCCGACTGACACCTGTAAAGTAGGTGTTAACGCAGCTGCCAAGCCATACTTATTTGCCGTCATTCTGTGCTCGACCGAAGTGACCGTTATACCATTTCAGCACCACTATAAATAGATATACTATTCTCAACATGAAAGGGGGAATTTTTGGAGGGATTTTTTAGGCTATTTTCCAAGCAATATCTGCAAATTATGCTGCACTACACTAAAGAACTCACAGAGTTCTTCATTTTCCTACTCAAGTTCATCGACTGACATAATCGTTGGAGGTACAACGGGGGAACTAAGCCCCGTTTTCTCACAAGTTGCTATCTGTGCAGGTTGAAGTTACTCAACTCGAAACAAGATATTCGGAGAAGTGAACGGCCCCTAATCAACCTCATCCCTACCATATATTTGACTGTTTGATTATTTAACATCAACAGTGTTCAACAATATGCTAAGATCAAATTTTTATTCCCTAAAAGGTAAGATAGAGGATAAATTGAGGGATGCCCCGCCACCTAAAATAGGAAGAAGACCACTTCAAGGATTGATATCATGAAAGTATCAACAGTTTGTTAAAATTAGGAAGGTAAACGTGATGATTTCTTTGAACGGTAGGCCTATGGCTGTTGGAAATTTATCAAATAAATTAAGATTATAGCTTGAAATAAATCCGAAATCAAAATAAATGAGAGATTAGAAATTCAGGCCTGACGGGAGCAGTCGTGTAATCACTGCTCTAGAAGATTGAGAACCCGCCTATCGCCCTGGCGCAGATGGTTCCCTCCCCCTAGTGGTAAAAGCTCCCGGAAACGGCCGGCCTCTGCACTCGGGCGAGAGTGCAGACCTTCAGCTCAGATGAAGGAAGTTGCCCAAATAAACCGTAGCAAATCAGAAAAGAGGCTTCGGAAGAAAAGAGAGAAGGAATGTTCTTGTTGTTTTCCCTTATTGTTTTTCCGAGAAGAGAAAGGCCGTATATATAAGCTTTTAGAAAACCGTTACAAAACCCCTCAATAAATTCAGTAACGTTAGCCATAATTGCATAACCGTTACCAAAGTTTTAATTACATGTTTTAATTACAATATTTATTATTATTCATGAAGGCAAAATTGCCTTTTTATAACAAAATATCTAACAGTCCTCCCCCAAAAGGCAATATTGACTGAAGACTCAGAAATCAATAAATAAATCAAGAAATCATAAAACAAATATAGGTTGGGCAACCTTTCGTATCGTGAATTTGGGAGAGGTAGCTTCCGGCTTTGAACCTTTCCTTAGTGAGTTCATTGCCACCTGAGGGACATAATGGACTAGGCCTTGAATTAGGCCCCTTTAATCAGGTATTGATGAAAACACACACAATACGCTTCATCTATTGAGCAAAGCGGGTTGAGCGTTAAAGGCCATGCTCACAATAAACCGACTTATGAGAGTTTCTAGGGGTTAGCCTAGCCCCCCCCCCTAACCGCGGCCATCACAGTTCCTCTCACGTAGGTAAGTCCTCAAAGGGTACTACAGCTGTTTATTTAATACCCCCCACAATACACGCGTTGGACTTATTAAGAGTAAAACTCAGCCTAGCCAGCTGTATCATAAGAACATCGTCATCATAGAGAAGGGGTAGTAGCAAATGCTACATAATGATATATAAATATATCTAGGTCGATGCTCCACACGAGAGTCACTTGTCCAGCTTGTTTCTACCACATTGAACCGACATTGGGACTACGTCTCCAAATAAGGGTTGGGTTGCCGCTGTCAGTGACCTCATTTATGGGCTTAACACCATCTCCCTCGATGAATCCAGAACCACACTCCTGGATAATCTCTTAGTCAAAGGATCAACAAGATTCTTTTCACAGACTTTACAGAGTCTAGAATCACAACTTTGCCTAGCAGGCGTTGTATTTATTTATCAAGTTCTTATTTTGCAATTAGTCCATCATATTGTTTGAAACTGACATTAGGTCATGGTCTATGATCATAAAAGATCATAGTCTATGTCTGAAGATGTAAACACATAGTGTTTGTGCAGATTAAGATTTGACCTTAATATCTGAACATTTCAAACTAATGTGGAACTAAAATTCTGCAGTTATGCATATGCACATACATGAATGAAATTAATAATAGATACATGCAGAGCATAATAGGATTTCGTATCTTAAAATATATTTCATACTTCATAATTCAAATGCATAAAATTTTTAAATTATTCTATTATAAGAGGTTACAAATTGGTTGCCTATAAAGGAGACCTTCCAAATTTAAATTGGCTGCCTACAAATGAGACCTTCCAAATTTAAATTGGTTGTCTACAAAAGAGACCTTCCAAATTTATGTTGCCATTTTCTAGTACCACCTCTTATACAAATGATAATAATAATAATATTTGTACATACGTGCTTTAAATTTTTACAAGTGCATTCTTGCATAAAACCTTATAATTAATTATGTAACAAATACAAGTAATCTAAAAGACATATGAATATTTATTGCAATATCCATCAAAATGCAATAAAAATGATGAACTTTACATTTGAAGATTTGAAACATAATCCACCATATAAAATAGAATTTTAAAAGATGCACCTCTTTGATTTGGTTCGCTCATATATTGATCATTTATCATTAGGCAATATATGATGCAAGAAGCGTAATTAAATAAATGCATATGAATTTTCCTCATAATTCCGGTCCTCTTATTCCAAATCAAAAACTCCTAAAGTGAAAAGATTAAAGTTTTACCCGGGTAGTTAGCCAGGTAAGGATAGTAATAGAGGTTGATAAAAGATCAATTAAGTACATCGTTCCTTGCAGAGCGCGTTACGCAACCCTTAAACCTTGCCTTAGACACCAACTAATCCAAGAAAACTTGAATCGGTTCACTCAATGAGTTTTTGTTTCTTAACAGAATATAGAAACTTTAAATTATTTCCTGCAATCATTTAAATTGCCTAGCAATTATACTGCAAACATATGTTGGATAAGGCCGAGGAGGGGTTTACCTATTGATGTTCGAACCTTATGATTTTCATGTCTTGAGAGTAAAAACCCATCTGCTGCAGACAACTGCCACAGAAGTTACTGAACAAATTTGCATTCACTTTTACCACCGTTTATACTAAGCTTATTAGATGCATAAGCACTCCAAAGTATGGAATTATTAATAATAGAAGATACCATATTGATAGGTTAAAGAAATGAAAGCATTAAACCATGAAAAAAAATAGATATTTCAAAGCATCTATGCATCCAGAGTTTGTTCTCTTTATTCTTGTCAAAAACCATGCATATGAAATTTTCAAGAATAAATATGTATACTGCTGCAAATTTATAGCATGTTTCAAATGCGTGCTTATCCACTAGCACAAGGGAAAGTTTTATTCACATACAAGAGAAGGGAAACTAGACATGATCTATCACTTAAGGTGTTCATGATTAGAAATGACACATTACTTAAGGATATATAGCTAAGGAAGTTCAAAGGACATAACATCATCATAGTTGATGACAAAGGCAAGCCAGTCATAAATCATTAGAGATATAGTTGTGCAGGACCAATCAAGCACACATCGCAGTTCATAGAGGAATGGTAAAGCACGATTAACCACAGTAATTACTAGATTAATTACTAGTTAAGAACAATTAATAGTAATTACAGTAACAAATTAATTTTAGCAATTAACCATAGTGATTAAAACGGATGAACAGAAAGAAACTGTAATCTGGAATTAATTTTCTGATGAATAGTAATAGAAAATATTTCGGTTTTTTTTAACAACAATAATATTAAACAAATAATTAAAGCAATAAGATATTTTGGTGAACAGTAACTGAATTCTTTTTATGAATAATAATGTTTTTTTTAATAACTGTTTTTCCGAATTTTAATCAACAACTAATTAATCCTATGAACATTTATATCATGAACAGTAACTGCTTTGGATGAACAGTAACCGTTTTTAAAATATAGTTAAAACTGTTTTAAATGAACAGTAAATTTTTTATTTTTGGCATGAACAGTAACAGTTACAAAAATAATTTTTTTAGCAATTAACTAATAGCATTAATTACTAATTATGCCAACAAATAATGAAAGCAATTAGATTAGAAGAACAATAATAAAATTGCTTAATGAACAGAAAAAATTCCCGAGTGAACAGTAACCCTCGGTGAACAGTAACAAAATTTTCCTTCAAAAAAAAAAAAAAAACAGAAAGAAATATATATATTTTCCGGATTAAAAGCAAAAGCTATAAACTTCTCAATCTTCTAGATTGTTGGAAATTTATCAAATAAATTAAGATTATAGCTTGAAATAAATCCGAAATCAAAATAAATGAGAGATTAGAAATTCAGGCCTGACGGGAGCAGTCGTGTAATCACTGCCCTAGAAGATTGAGAACCCGCCTATTGCCCTGACGCAGATGGTTCCCTTCCCCCTAGCGGTAAAAGCCCCGGAAACGGCCGGCCTCTGCACTCGGGCGAGAGTGCAGACCTTCAGCTCAGATGAAGGAAGTTGCCCAAATAAACCGTAGCAAATAAGAAAAGAGGCTTTGGAAGAAAATAGAGAAGGAATGTTCTTGTTGTTTTCCCTTATTGTTTTTCCGAGAAGAGAAATGCCGTATATATAGGCTTTTAGAAAACCGTTACAAAACCCCTCAATAAATTCAGTAACGTTAGCCATAATTGCATAACCATTACCAAAGTTTTAATTATATGTTTTAATTACAATATTTATTATTATTCATGAAGGCAAAATTGCCTTTTTATAACAAAATATCTAACAATGGCTACCCATGTTCTTTAAAATTGCCATAAGCTATTAGAACCAACACTTCTTATTTCCATAGTCTTAACTATCCTCTAATCATGGATCCCAATAATCACAGAAACTAGCTAGAGAGTATAGAAATTTGGACCACGACTCGATTTTCTTATTAAGCGTGCTAAGGGGCAGTGACAGATCTAAGATTTTATCCCTATATAACTAATTATTAGTTCAATATATTCAATATATTCTTTACACCAAAAAAAAAAGTCTACGATATACTTTCATGTTGCAGTAACAGCCAGCCAGCTATTTAATCGTTCCTTATTTGTTTGTATGAACACGCGCAAAGCATGCCCTTAGCTACTTATAGAGCCTGTGCCTTGTGTATAAATTAAACCTTGAAGCACCAAACGTATCATCATCATCCATAGGCAATTATAGCAGATGGATGTATCCTCTTCGCTCATAATCTTCTCTTTTGCTTCGTTGACGTTGAGTTCAGTGGGGTTAGCTTCAGCTAACGCCCCCGCAATTTTTGTGTTTGGAGATTCTTTGGCCGATGTAGGGAATAATAATAATTTGAATGTCCCGTTGGATAAGCTGGCTAACTTTCCTCCCAACGGCATTGATTTCCCCTTGAAGACTCCGACCGGGAGATTTAGCAATGGGTATAATACCATTGATTATCTAGGTATGCGACAGTTTTCTATGCTAGCTGCCATATTAACTTGTTAATGATTTATTGCTTTTTTTTTCATATACTAGTACGTATATCGCACGTGCTTCGCATTCGGACTTACTTGTTTTGTATTTTGAATTTACCTAGTTGGTAATAAAAATTGTGAAATGACTTCTATAAAAAACGAACTAATTATTAATAAATAAATTGTACAATAAAATTTTATTGTATTAGAAATTGTATTTAAATAATTGTACCATAGATGAATAGTTATTTAATGTGGAAATCTAATTTTACCCAAACATTTGGATATCAAAGTTAAAAAATGTGTAAACTTAGAATGTCAAAGTGTCGGGAAAAAACTTTTTTAGACGTCAAACTTAAAATAGGTTTGAACTTTGGGTATCAAAGTGTTGAAAAAGAACTTTGATATATCAAAGTTAAAAATAGTGTAAACTTTGGGATATAAAGTGCAAATAACCCTAATTATTTATAGTACAATTGTATTTTATGTATAGTATTATATTAATGTTATTTTATTATAATTTATTAATATAATTTAATATATTGCATATTTATTTAAGAAATTATGTATAATTATTTATTAATTATTCATAAGCAATTAATAGTTATACTATTAATGATAATTTTAGTATTATTATATAATTTATTTAATAACAATGTTAATTATTAATTTAAATAATACCATTTATATTAAAAATACAAATATAAATTTGACTGTAATTTATTACAAATATTAATTATTTATAGTATAATTATCAAATAATAGTGTTGATTCTTAATCTAAACAATACTATTAAAAATTATACTATTTATATTAAAATATAAATTTTGGTTGATTTTAATTTTTTTATAAATATTAATTAATTATAAAATATTATAAAATAAATTATTGTACATAGTTATTATACTATCATAACTATTAATTGTTAAAAGATTAATTGAGAGGACATAATTAATAAGAGATTTTGGATACTTAATGAAAGATTAATTATATGTTTTGTGTATAATTGTGAATTGTCAATACTAAAAAGGCAAAAAGTCATTCAAAAGTTTTGCCGTATCTTTCTTTATAATTAGTATAGATATACGCTTCAAAGCTTATAGAAGAAGACCATCTAAAAGATTATTGCTTTTGCATTTCTTAGCATTTTACTTGTTCGAAGAATGAATACTTATATATGTACATATATATACTCGTCAAATATCAATTTTATATATAATATATATATATATATATAGTATATATATTATATATATATATATAATATAATATATTTATATATATATATATATATATATTATATATATATATATATATATATATGTAATATATATACTCGTCAAAATATCAAATTTTATATATATATATATAATATATATATATATATATATAAATTATATATATATATATATATATATAAGGTGAAAACTTGTGTCACATTAAGTGGATAGCAATAGTGTGTCCACAAAACTTTTATCCATGGATCTTGCCTAGGGATCCTTGCATGATATGAAGAGGTTTTTTTATATAATAAATGTGTGGCTAGAAACTTTGGTGGACATCAACTTAAGTTGATAGGAGTATTGTCTCTCTCTCTCTCTCTCTTCTCTCTCTATATAATATAATATAATATATATAATATATATATAGTATATATTATAACTATAATATATATTATAGATATAAATTAAACTACTAATTAAATAAATATCTGTAATTTTTTTAAAGAGAAGGTTATATCATGGAGGCCAGCATGATTCTATAGATACTTTAAAAAAAATATTACTTTTGACGCACTTAGTTAGTATATAAGGATCAAAGAAATGATTGTAACTGGTGCATACATGCTTATATTCAATTTGATGACTGAATTTCTAGACGATTAAGCAATAATTTAGCATACTTAGTAAACAATAAACTAAACCGTAATAATACTTAACAAAAAATATTATTTGTTGATGACATGAATATAAATATAAAATTTTGATATTTTTCTAAGAGGAAACATGTAAAACAGTGTATTTTACAGAATAAAAAAAACATCTATAAAAAATAAATCAAAATACCAATTTTGCGTATGCAAGAAGCATCTTGTTTCTAGGCAAAAGTTCAGTGAAGGTCCATGAAGTATCGGCCAAATATCAGTTGTATTTTTAATATTTAGAAGTCATCATTGAGAGTCCCTAACATCACCTATGTCATCAATCTAGATCTTTCTTTATAAACTTTCATTAAATCTTGTTAAGCTGGCGATAATGTGGCATTTCTATTTTAGCAAAAAAGTTAGCGAAAGTCCAAGTTTATCCTGCCACATCAACAAAAAAATTAGTAAAATTATAAGTTTGTATTGAACTTGAAATATTACTATTTTTTTACTGACGTGGTAGTAACACGAAAAACTTGGCCATCGCCATGTCATTAAGATTTAACAAAATTTTGTAAAAAGAACCGACGTCGATAACGAAAGCAGCATTAGGAATCCCTAGTGACGACTTTCAGATATTAAGACTCCAAGTGATATTTGGTCAATACGTCACGGACCTCTACAGAGATTGTATCTTGTTTCTAACTGTTTGCCACCCATCAGCCCAGCAAATGGGGTACAAGCAAAGCCCGCCATCATTTCTCTCCGTTGAAAATGGGGCAAATATCTCACAAGGAGTAAACTTTGCCTCCGGAGGCTCAGGGATTCTTGATACCACTGTAAGCAACACCAACCCAAATTTAGGCACTCCACAATCCCTTTCTTAATCAGATGATATGAGGTCGTCTACATTTCATTCTAAATAGTGCAAATGTCACAGAACCCCCAAACATTTGTCCTATTTTGGGATAACCTCCAAAGAATCTGGAAATGTTATTTAACACCCAAAAACTTTTGCATTATTCCTAATCTATTTTCAAATAACCCCCAACATTCTCGGAGTTACCGGGAAAAGTTTGGGAGTTGAGTCGTATTTTCAAACTTTCTGGGAGTAATCTGAAAACGTTTGAGGGTTAAGTAACATTTCCAAATATTTAAGACTTATAATTAAGAATTTGGATCCTCTCCACTACAAAAAAGTAGTGGAGAGACCACTACTTTTAATCTTAATCGTTGATTACTTAATAGGCGTGTATGATACAATCTAAATCTAACACTTACCATACCCCCGTGTATTGCACTCATTCCTAATTTGCACCAAAAGAAAAAATCACAACCACCAACTAGATAATCAATGGTTATGAACTTATGATTATGTAATGATCCCACCACTACTTTTTAGATAGTGGAGAGGATCCGAATCCTATAATTAAATGGGCCAAACTTGTGGCGGATTTTGTGAAAGTTACATTTCTTATTACTTTGGGTATCTTGGCCTAGTTACTCAAAATAAATTACATTTTCAATTATCTTACTTGGAATAAATTACCTATTAATCCAGATACTGATGGACGGTTGTGATAAAAACATGTCGGGACTTTAGTAGGGTAAATATATTTTTTTGGGTAGGGTTACAATCAACACATTAAGTTACTTACACAACTGTAAAATTTCACATTTGCCAATCTATATTGTAAATTCTATCTGTTCATTGTTATATACATGTCATCAAATAGATGTAGATTAAAAATTAGTGGCTTGAAATTTTCTATCACATAATTCAAGCAACTTAAAATAAACGTCATTTTAGACCGTTGCAGTTCATTAGATGTATAAATTTGAAATATTTAAACTATGTTTTTTTAATCTCTACAAACTTTAGAATGCATATACCACATTGAACAATGTGGATTATTAATATCCGTGGTCAAACACATATTTTACGTAAGTGCGTAACTAGCTTGAGCATCTCCAATAGCTTCTCCATTTCCCACTTTTGGAGAATTTAGTTAGGTTTTTAGTCCAACAGATTTCCCAACTCATTCCCTAAAATAGGGATGGAGGAGAAAAAATGGCGAAACTTCCCCAAATCTACAGCATTCTCCAAATTTTTGAAGGAACAAAGGGATTCTTTAAAATGGGGAAGCTGTTGGAGTTGGTGTAAAAATAATTTGGAGAATATAACTTTTGCTTCCCCATTTTGGAGAAAATTTTAGAGAAGCTGTTGGAGATGCCCTTACATCTTGTGTAAATTATAACTGTACCCATACTTTTTTTCCCCTCATCTTACTATTTTGTTTTTTTCCTAATATTGCCTCCAAATTCTTTTTTGACCTCTGGCTGCATCAGGGTCCAGCTATAACCTTCACGGCTCAAATTTCAAATTTTAAGAGCGTTATTTACGATTTAACGAAACAAATGGGAAAAGAGAAAGCAGAGGAATTCATTTCAAAATCCCTTTTCTTCATTAGCGCCGGGAACAACGATATGTTTGCTTATTACTCAACCACCGGAGCTCAAAACATTACACAAAATGAACAATTTGTCACTTCGCTTGTCGAAAAATTCAGCCAGCACATAAAGGTTTGCAACCTTAAGACACATTTCTACATTTTTCCAGGTAAAAGAAGGGGAGAAGTTTACAGAGTCCCCCAAAAGTTTCGGTGCTTCTGAGATAACCCCAAAAATTTTCAAGCTACTATCTAACCCCAAAAAGCTTTTGGAGTGTCCAGAAAATCCTCATGATTTTTTTTTTTCATGCCCCGCTTACTTTCATCATTATTTTCAGATAAACTCCAAACGTTTTATAATTATGTTCAGGAAAACTACAAATTTCAACATTGTTTTAAAAAAAAACCCTAACATTTTTGATAAAGTTTTAGAGAACCCTCCATTATGCTGTCAGGGGGAAGGATGAATCTTTTTTCAATAGTTATGGGTGCCCAGAACTTT